AAGTAGCCATTATAATATTATATTAAATCTATAGTTGTCGCTAATGGGTATATTTTAAAAGATTATACAAAAAAAAGACTTATAGGACAACGGAGACAAGAGTAGCCAATGTTATAGGTAGTTTATTGTGTATTTGTAAGCTACAGAAAACATTGCTAACAAAAAACTACACTTGTTCAGAGCAAGTTTTCTAGTATAAAAGTTTACATAGTAAATCGAGGAGTATTTTGGGATTAAATTAGTCCGAGCAAGCGATATCTTGATCACTATGTAGACCTGAAATGCATTTGTTTTTCTTTGATTAGGTAAAAAGAGATAAAATGCAAATAATTTATTTTAAAACTAAGGCTTAAACTCGCGTACCCTAAGATGCTAATAGGCATACATGATGAATTACAATTAGACTACAACAAACATATTAACCACATAATGAAACTATGTCAGTCCGTTCAGTTCTTCTTCAACCATCGTTCTTAAATCGGCAATATACATCGTTCAAAACTAAAAATTAAAAATTAGATTCGTACTATTCGAAAGATTTCTTGTAGAATTTTGGTATACGGTATAAAAAAAAAAAAAATTGAATTAGATTTGTTCACTTAAAAATTGATTTTATTTAGTTTTTCCTAAATGTAATCAACTAGATAAGAGTTACAAATGGGTATCTGCTATAGTCAAATCATTTAATGTTATATTTCCCTCGTAGGATAAAATTATTATACTAATTTTAGTAGATTGTTTATATCAAATAGAAAAATAAGAAATAAATAAATAAAAATGTTTTGTCTAAGTTTATTTAAATATTTATCGATGCACTATATTGAATTATATCATATTATGTAATATGTTTCNTTATATTTCCCTCGTAGGATAAAATTATTATACTAATTTTAGTAGATTGTTTATATCAAATAGAAAAATAAGAAATAAATAAATGAAAATGTTTTGTCTAAGTTTATGTAAATATTTATCGATGCACTATATTGAATTATATCATATTATGTAATATGTATCAACGCATGACGCTTGACAATGATATAAACTATTATATTTCTATAAAATATTCTTTGTCTATAAATGATCTAAATTTATGAATATTAAACAATGTATTATTTTAAAAATATTATAAGTTGCAAAGAAAAATTAATAATATAATTATTATTATACTACGGGTTATTCAATTTGTGAACTGTCGCGGAATGGCTCAGTCGTGATTTTGGCCATTATTGGCGAAGGAACTTTTCCCTCCAAACGTCTCTGTAAACTGACCATAACTTACTTAGAGTACAAAACGAAACAAAATAAACTAATTAGTTTAGCACCGACAAAAACAAAGCTCACATTAAATATTGTATTTTATAAATGGACCATATGAAACAAAATAATATTCAGATATTAATAAAAGAATAGTGAACTTTGTCTGTAATATATAATAGAGTTGTGTAATTAAAAAACCCTCCTCAGTGTGACTTCCTTTCAGAAAAGGTATCTCACAACTTTGTAATTCAAAATACAATTAGAATTTTTTGTTGCATTCTGTCTTGAACAAATAAAGGGGAAAGTACCTTTGCTGCACCTAAGGAAAGAAAATATTTAAATTTGTTGAAACTAAATTCAAAAATAAATCTAAAACCATCCTTAGGAGTCCATTCAAGTAATTTTGAACATAAGGATTAAAGATGTTATACAAACTTGGGAATTAAGACAAGGGACCAGCAAGTAATACAAATAAAACTTATTTTTATTATTGGAGTGTTCATTTTTGGTTCAAAATGCCTGTCTTCGTTGGGCAACCTGTACATCTTTAATCGTGATAATATCTACATTCCAATACCGTATAAATATAAATATCATTATAATATAAGAATATAATAAAAACAAACACCTATATCACAATTGTGATAATAATCACCTCTTTCTCATATTCATAACTGCCGTACAACACAATTAGAATGTCGATTATTTTATAGGTTAGTCGTTTAGAGTTACCTTTTTAAACGAAGTAATTTATGTATTATTAATATATATTTTTTTTTAAATTGAATAATGAATGATTTATAATATATATATATTTTAAATAAGAGTAAATTATTTGAACTATAAATGCAGTGGATTCGACTTAACGTTGGGACCAGTTATATTTCCCTATATAAGGCAGCTGCCTATTTAAATGGGTTTCACAAATGGGTTTCGTATACATTAGAACCGTAATCAGATTATTATGCCCATATTAGGTGGCTGCCCGAATTAACCGGTGGTCACATTAAGCGGAATCCTCTGTATTTTTTTAAATTATTTTGTATAGGTGAACTAGTTGATAATGGGACAGGAAGTAAGTTTATGTTTATTTATAATTAATAAAGTTCTCAAAAGAAAGTTATATTTGGTAAGATATAAAGTAGCTACGCCGTTATTACCGTACAAGATTGGCTATAGTACAAGACTATATGATACCAGCGCAGAGGCAATTCCTCCATTATATTTGCTCTCTAGTTGTTATTATTTGGCAAGTTTTGAATGTCTAATATACATAATATAACGGAAAAGTAGGTTTAATGATTAATAATTTCCCTACTTAAGGCTATGGATTAAAGTCAGAGTTATACACTTAATAAGTTTCAGTTTTCTGGGTATAATAATATAAATCATATTTAAACTATGCCATTAACATGTTTGAAACGATTTTTTTACTAAATTGTTTTCTTTGAACTACATAATAATGTGAGAGATATGAATATAGCTTGTTTTTTTTTTTTTTCTAACAAATATTATTTCACTTCTGAATATGAAATTTGATTCGCAAAGGTATAATATCATTATGAATTTATTCTCATTTATAAACTTTAATAATAATACATATTATATATTTTTTTATTTTTCGTATAATCTAGATCTAGTTTTAGAAGGTATCGTTTTTATTATTTTAAATATATTTTTAATAATAAATAAAATAAAATAATTTGTTTAATAAATATAATTTTTAATATTTTCGGACATATTTTTTAGAAAACATTGTATTGTAAATAATTGTAGTCGAATGTAGATATTAATGATAAACCGATTTGTTGATATATGTTGGGTACCGAACGTGTGGTCGAAAACAAACGGTTCCCACCACTGATCACAGGCCCAATGTTGACCTTACTGCACTCTTCACCGATACAACGGTACAACCCAAGTGGCTAATTAGTTGCTGTTATCGGGTTTATCACCTGGTCTTCAGTTGCTGTGTCTTCTGTTATCACACTCCAACGATCGAAAAAGTGTCCATCAGCGCCGTCGTGTGGTCGTACGTCCGTCGTTGTATTATAACTGAACCGTTTTTTTGTCCTTACCCTGTACGNAAATATTATGAACTTAAAATTAAAATCGGAGAAAATAAGTCTGATCAATTTTTTTCTAACATACATTTTACAAGTATTGACAGTATTATAGATATTGAAAAAAGTCAATCTGTTCACCATTAGCGATAGTCATCAATATAGAGGAGCGGAACGAAGGAAAATTTGTTATACGTATGTTTAGATAAAATATAGTGTTGATTGAAGACCTAGTTAACGGTTATAATTGTTGGAGACTGCAATTGTTGTACATATATTATTGTTTCGTATACTCGATTTATTTTTAGATTTTATATAAGGAAAGTAATAATAAAGTACGACAAGCGATAGTCGGTTGGTTTGGTTAAGTATAATAACTTAGTATTACTTACGAAAATAAATTAATTTCATCGAATTTTGGACACACAAAAATTTTAGATAACAATATTAAAGTAAATAAGTATAGGATTTTGTTGCTATTATTATTATTTATCCCCTTAAAAATGTAGTGTGTGTCTTCAAATTTTTTACCGTTGGATTTATAACCCAATGTCCGGAAAACGATATATCGTTTGAGATAAATAAAAACAATTTAATTAATTTTGGATAGTTTTAATAGAGTTAAGTTTTTTCATTTAGAAAGTCATTTTTTTTTTTTTGTTTTTCGATTTTGGATTAAATTTTATGAATTGGTTTGATTTATTTTTAATTTTGGTTTCAATTTCAGAAATCGGTTTAGTTTTCTTTTGTTTTTGATTTCAAAATCAGTTTTCAATATATATGATTTCATTTCCGATTTTGATATTAATATCGATTATTTAATGGTTTTAACCGTTACCCAACATCGATTTCAAAACTGCTTCAAGCCATGAATAATGTACCTATTATCCATTTTCCTACGGTTTTCTCGTTTACTTAGTTTTATCCCCATTAATTGGGAATAATATAATTATTAAATGTCTTGTTGCGTTCCTTCTTACACAAATAAAGAGGAAAGTACTTTTACTGTACCTACAGATAGATAGTTGTTTAATTCGAGGAAGGAAAATTTAGGTATAGATCTAAAACCATTCTCAGAGTTTGTTTAATTAATTTTAAACATAAGGACTAAGGATGTTATAAAAATTGGGAATCGAAACACGGAACCAGCAAATAAAACAAATAAAACTTATTTTCGCTTGTTTCCTTTTACGTAAATAATAATTTCCCCTGTATGCGGAACACCGAAATAGAATTTATTCAGCTTGGTGCGTTAAAAAGTTAAATTTTTGGAGTGTCAGGTCTTGGGTCACGATATTTGTCCTTGTTGTGCAACCCGTTAATCTTTTTTTTTAATAATATGAATTAGTAATTTTGTTTTTTTTATTTTGTATAGGTTCTATACAATTAGATGATTCAGGAAGTAAGTTTATTTTGATTAATAAACAACAAATTCTTTAAAAGAAAGTTAATTTACAAAGATATTAACGTTAACGCCGTTAACGCCGTACAAGATTGGCTATAGTATAAGATTTTATGATAATATTGAAGTAGCCATTCCCCTATGATATTTGATCTCTAGTTGTCATTTTTGGACAAGTATTGAATGTATAATGCATATAACCTATATTTTGACTATGCTATTCACGGCTTGAAACATTTATATTTTAACTAAATTGGTTTTTGTAACCTACATAGTTATTAGAAAGATATGAATACTGATTGTTTTTTTTTTTTTTAAATATTATTTCACTTATAAATACATAGTTTTATTCAGAAATGTATAATATCATAATGAATTATTTCTGATACATAAATTATAAAAATATATATTATTTTTTTTTTTGTTTTTCGTATACTCTAGTAATGTATTTCAAAGGTATCGTTTATATTTTTTTAAATATATTTTTGATAGTAATAGTTTCAGTATAGATACTGTGTGACATTTAGTATACCTATTGAATGTTAATTTGCTTTTGTAGATAAAATGAACTCTAAATATTTTGTAGCAGAAAAAAAAAAAAATTTTAAATAATGACGATTTTGGGTTGGGTGTATCTCTTTTGTAGGTGGAAAGTCGAGAAGAATTTTTTATTATACTCTTTGTTTAGTTATTATAATAATATAAACTATGAATAATATAAATTAATATCTACTGATTATTTATTACTTCTTATAATAGAGGACAGTCCATAAGCAACAAATGTTTCGCAAATCGTGGTAAGTACACTTTGAATAGATTATTTTTTTTAAAAAAAACAAAGGTTTTAGAGGTCTTAACACGAACNTTTGTAGGTGGAAAGTTGAGAAGAATTTTTTATTATACTCTTTGTTTAGTTATTATAATAATATAAACTATGAATAATATAAATTAATATCTACTGATTATTTATTACTTCTTATAATAGAGGACAGTCCATAAGCAACAAATGTTTCGTAAATCGTGGTAAGTACACTTTAAATAGATTATTATTTTTAAAAAAAACAAAGGTTTTAGGGGCCTAAACACAAACAAATTAATCGCTTTTTTGAGAACTACTGTCTATTGATGATTTTTTAAAACCGAAACCTGTAGTAAACACGCAAGTAGTAGAAAAATGGGGTACCTCGCACTGACAGATATTTTCAGTTTTAAAAACTAATTTCAGATCTCAATTTACATTGTTTTCTTATTGTTCTCTGTTCACATAATTATATTAAAAGAATATTTGTAATGTTATAACTTTCGAAATAGGAAGTCCTGATAGTTTTATCAATAATAAACGTCCAAAATATCAAGATATCACATCAAGATTTTCCCATATTAGGTGTGTATCTCACACCTAATAAATTTAAAAATGCAACACCAAAGTACGTATTAAATCTTACTAGACGACCGGACAATGTTAGTGGAAATAGATATAATATTATTTTGAATGCAAAATTTAATGAGGATGTACCAAATTGTACAATTCGATATATTAGTTTAGTTTCAACTTCTGAATTTACATACAATATTTTTAATAATGCAATTAAAATATCTAATAATAAAAATATTTTTCAATAGAAATATTGAATTAAGAAAAAGAATGGGTTTATTATGTTAATAAATATGGATAAAGAATTTTTATGACCAATATACTGTCACAAATGCAAAAGAAAACTAAAATTTTAAACCAATCAAGGTTTAAATAACAATTGGATTTCGGAAAATTTCAACACAATGTTTAAAATATAAAACAAACTAAAGTAAATTTATTAAATCACCTTTAGGAAAAGAAACAATATCTAAAATAAAATACGAAAAAATATCAGAACAAGATAATCTAAGTAATGCAAAAGGACTTCATAAAATAGTAAGATCCCAATTTACAAAAAGGAGAATAAATACACAAGGTATCGATAAATTATGGGCTGTTATAGATACTTTTTCAAAATTTGCATGGGCTGAACCTCCTAAAAAGAAAGATGGGAAAAATGTTACAAAATCTTTTGAAGAAATAATAAAAAGAGCGAAATTACAGGAACACAATTCTCCAATATTACTTTACACTAAAAAAAGAACAGACTTTGTAAACAAACAGTTTATAGAATGTTAATAAAATACATCATAAAATTATATTATATACAAAATTATGAGAATTCTGCAATTATTAAATGTTTCAACAGAAATTTAAATGCTAAAATGAGTAATACAGTTTGAATTTCAAAAAAATAAAAGATTCATTGATATTTTACAAAATTTGTTAAACGAAAATAATTTCAAAGATATTCATCGATCAATTTGAATGATACCATTCAAAGTAAACAAATATAATTAAGAAAAAGTTTTTAACTAAATTATTCCTTAATGAAACATCCAATGAAGATGTATTTTGGGCTAAGGATTCTGATTGGCTATTCAACCAGGTTATAAATATGTATAGTTATAAATTACTTAATGGAGCATCATGTATTAAATTATCAAAAAAGATATCTGATATAAAAGCTATTACCAATATTGCGAATAAAGTTGATAAATATTTTCTTTAGTCAATTTTTGCCACTTTACAGTGACAAAAGATGCAAACAGGGTTAGTAATTATTATAAATGAGAAAATTAATTAACTATATTAAATGAACAGATACAGATTCTTTATTAGTAAAAATTATAACTGATGACTTTTATACAGATGTAATTAATAATGAACAATTTTAAATGAATTTGATTTTTCAGATTATCTTGGATTAAGATCTAATTTATATATATTTAAAGTATTTAAAAACGTAAATGAAATTAAGAAGGCGAAAGGTGTTAAAAAACCCATAGTTAAAATTAATTATGTTTCAATGATTTTTAAAATTGTTAAAAATAAAATTCCACAACATGTAAAACATAACACTTTTAGAACAGATAAACATAATATTTATTGTTGAACAAAACAATAAAGCTCTGATGCATCTGATGCATCTGATGATAAAAGACATATTCTGAAAAATGGTATTGATACAGTATCTTGGGAAAATTATTCAACAACAGAAAAAGAAAGAGAAAATTTCTAAGATCACCTTAATAATTTAATAAAAACAAATATTAAAAAAGAATAATAATTTTAATATAAGTTATTTTTGAGAAAGGATCTATTGCACGCACGATGCTTAATTTATTATATATTTTTTTTTTTTTTTTTAAGAAAACTGTTTTAGCACAATGTTTATGTGAAAATAGTTTTTCTAAGCTCTTTAAAAATAATAAATATATACTTCTCTTTTTGTGATACAATTTTTTTTAATATTATTAATGTAAGTTTTTTAAATTTTTATTTTAATTTAATTATTTTAAATGTATTTTTTTTTAAATTTTTTTTTCATATAATTGTGTGAACTAATAATAATAAGGAAACAAGATGAACAGAGATCTGAAATTATATTTTCAAAGTAAAAATATTTGGCTTCTCCAGGATCCTCATTTTTCTACAACACACACAACAATATATAATATTATAGGCTTTTTGTTGATAATTTAGATTATCTGTTTAGATAAAATGTTTGTGCTGTTTATATAATATTATCATAATCCTGATAATATTAAAATAACTTAACAGTGGCATATATAGGAAGGGGCACAGTGGGCCATAAGCCCACCTCGTATTAGTATTGTAATCATCTCGCACATTGAAAATTGTTTTTAATATTATTTATTTAATGAATTAAATTTATCATGCCTCAATTATTGAAATACACATTTTATTTTTTAAATAATTATTTTTATGGCCCTAATAAGAGGTACACATGCAAAACAAATGACCAATGTATAACTTGATATTTATAGTAAATACTATTTTATGTAATTCTGTGAAATGTGAAACATATTTTAGCTAAAATTATTTTTATACAAATAGTTGTTACTGTAACATTATTTGTTTTTTTTTTGTTTTTCTTTAGTTCCACACAAGATCCAAAGTCTCAATTTCATTACAGCAATATTACAATATAAGAGTTTAAATACATAAACCTAATGAACTGAAATAAACATAGTAGCACAACATTATATTCACTATTTCGCAATCAAACTTTATTTGCTATTATTATTAGCTATTATTAAAATTTACTGTAATATTATTGATAATTATTTTCATAATATTATAAGTTCATTATTAATAAGTGTGTATCATTGTTAAATTACATACTTAATATCATGTATGTAATAAATTTAATAATACATGATAATACAATATGTTTAATTAAGTTGATCTGTTAAAAATTTAAAATTTAATCAATGACATTTACAAAGTTATAAATATAATACAATAAAATGCATTATATTTTTTAAATTTGTTATTAATAAAAACATTCAGTAGTAAAAATAAGAACAATACGGTAATGTTTCTAGGTCCAACAATATCCTTTATAACGGTTTAAAAAATTATCATTTTTTCGATAGTTCGTATACGCAAAAGTTCGGATATTGGAAATATAAAATAAAACATTTTATAATATTATGTATTATGTATTAATTATTTATTATTTTTATAATTAAATATTTATTATTATTATTAATATTTTATTAGAATTGCATACATTACTGTAAGATTTGTAGATTAATTTCAATATAAATCACATCAGATCAAAATACAAATTAACACTAAATCTTATATGGAAAAATTATACATACTGACATAGAAGGTAGTTCGCGCTACAGCCACAGAACGAACACTGGTCAGCTAACGATAGTCGACCGGTTAGGTTGAACGATTACCCAAATGTGATAACAAAAACCGAATCGCATATATATATATCACAAACATCACAATTACATTTATTATTTATTATATATTTTTGACAAAATTATCACTTTTAATTTGACGATGAGCTGCAACGCGCTTTTCTGCAGCCAAGTATAGCAAACGTTTAAGAAGAAGTAATTGTGTTGGACAACATTCTGCCTGTTTTTTAAACCACTCAAGACCAGTTTTAAATACAGCAGATGGTGGTCCTTTTGGAGACCCATACTTTCATCACTATTGCCGAGAAAAACTAGGGCCTATGTATGCGTATCGTGTGTAATAGTAGTATAAGCGTTTTGTATTAGAACATAAGAGCATATAATTGTAGTCTATCGATAACGTCTGGTGTGTTAGCGGCTCTGAGAATATTGTAGCCATTGGCACCCGCAAGAGAGCCGCGCAGTCAGTCGAGCTCCCACTTTTAAAACTGTGCATCGTCTCGACGAATTTTATAATATATAACACGGTAATTATATAGTGCGACTCACATTAACATTTTATTAGTAACCAAAAATCCTTAGAATTGTCTTGTTGTACTTTATCCTAAAAATTGGTTCCTCACACTACCGAACAAATAAAACAACCCGTACGAGCACAACAACTCGCACAGGCACTACAACTGGTGGCAGCGGTGTTGCAATCATAATTTTGGGGAAGAAACATCTGCAGAAGGAAAACTAATATATCTAATATATATATTCGAGGTAATTTGTATTTCTCTTTGCAAGTATTAGAACTACTAGGTTCGTCGTAGGTATACCGTCATAAGGACAATTTTATACGAGGTGGTATATAAGTCACTATTGTAAAACTGTCACGGGTTTATGTGTTGTCGACAATGCACGCACTGTCTATAGTGAGCAGGTATTGTATTCGACTTTGTGTTCCACTCTTCACATCTCCATCAACGGCGTCACCGTCGCAATGTCGTGATTGCCGTCGTCGTGCTGCTGTAGCAGGAGAAGTAGAATCCGATTTACCAATTGCATATGTCTCACGTTCGTTAAAAAAGGCTGAGAAAAACTACAATACAACAAAGAAGGAATTACTAGCGATAGTTTGGGTCGTTAAGCAGTTTCGTCTATATCTGTTTGGGTGTTGATTCACAGTTGTCACAGACCATAAACTGTTTACTTGGCAATTTAATGTCAAAGATCTGGGGGCTCGATTAGTGAGATGTCGTCTACTACTGGAGGAACACGATCATGAAATAACTTATAAGCCAGGAACATCGAATTCATACGCAGATGCGTTAAGTCACATTACTCAAGTTAGTTCAACTAATCATATTTCAAATACGTACGAGAAATACATATATGATATTCAGTCAAAGATAATAAAAAAACTCAAATATCATAGAAGTGGAAGGAGATTTATTCCAAGCCACAGCAGATTTTGCACTAGGGCACTGTGTATCCAAAGATTTTAAGATGTCTCAAAGAATAGGTCTGGAATTTAGAAGAAAATTCGGTCAAGTCGAACAAAAACTTGAACAAAATAATCGAGTTACTGAAATAGCGACTATACAATATGATGAACGTAATATTTTATAAATAATCACTAAAGAATCATATAATCAAAAACCAACTTATGAAATTTCTGTGAACTGATAATATAAAAAAATTAGATCTATCCAAAATAGGTAGTGGCATCAGCTTAATCGGGAAC